CCAAATAGGCATGCTCTATTCCAGAAAAACAATGAAATTCTCATTTTCATTTCTCAATCATGCTCATTTCCAGAAAATCAATAAAATTCTCATTTTCATTCCAATCATGCTCAATTTCAGAAAAACAAGGAAATTCTTATAAAAACCATCACAATTTCCATTTCAGTTTAATCACATTCAGATGCTGATAAAATCAATTTAAAATCAATTTAAACCTTGCCACCATCTCAAAAACAATTGAAAACATGCTTTGAAATCGAAGGGCTTTACCATAATTTACTTACCTCACTCGCACATAACAGAAGGCTAACCCAAGTGCTACCGTGACAGAACGATCAAAACCTAATCAAAACACCTCATAATTAATACCGGACTATCACAAATTCAAACTGAAATCATCATTAAAATCACTCCCAATCCCGATGCTATTCCTATTAATCTCCACATGATCAAATATCTCCAAATTCATTCTTATATCACAAACTAATCATTTAAATCCCCGTTAATCATTAACCCTCGGTGTGTGAACAGTACCTCGTGAACAGTGCGTGAACAGTGACTGCACTTCCAAAATTGGCCAAACACTAGCTAATTCACAGGATTTTCTCCCTATAAACAACACAGCAACTAAATCAAGAAATTTCTACCTCAACCAAGCTTAAAACGTGTTTTATGCTACCCAAAATCATCCCATAATTCTAGCACAATCTCGGACAACACAAGCAACTAAATGGACAATACTTAATTGATAATTAGACATAAAAAGGCTATCCATCATACCAGGAAACTCCGGCAAGGAGCACTGGGTCCGGCTGGGAAGGAAGCCGACGGGGAGAGAAATGGAGGAACTCACGGCAAACCTCAAAATTCAAGAACCCACAACACAATTAGAGTAACCCAACTTGAATTAAGGCTAAAGGGATGATTCCTAGTCGTTCCCTTACCAGAAAACCGAGAAGCTCTCCACCGACAAGAGCAGCTCGCTGCAGGGGAAGGAAGAGCAGAACAGATCTGGGATTTCTGGGTTTAATAGCTGGTCTAGAACAAGAAAAGGGGAGAAATCCCCAAGTTTTACCGGTGTTCCCGGTCGGAAATGGATGGCGGTGGCTAGGGAGCTTCGGTCGGCTGCAGGGGACGGAACAGAGCAGAATCGGGATTTTCTGGGTTGAGGGGGAAGATTCTAAGCCCCAAATCTTGTGATTGAACAAGAAAAGGAAGGAATTCCATCAAGATCTCACCAACTTTTCAAGGAGAAGAAAGTCGGTGGCTTAGGGGGGCTTGTCGGGAGGAAGAAGATAAGCAGAAGTAGAAACACGCGGCTGATGAGGAAGAAAAGAAAGAAAAAGAAAAGAAAAAGCAATTCATCCTTATCCTAATTTCCTTTCTTTTTACTCCCTCAACTTTGGAAAATTTTACAATTAAACCCCAAAACAATATTTTCCCTCAAATAAGTCCCCACTTAAATGCTAAAATACCCCAAAATTTTGGGATATTACAATATTATACATGACAAATTTTAAAATATATCAAATGTAAAATAGAAAAAAAAATTTAAAAAGCTAATGTTCAAGGCATATTGGGACCGATCCCGGTCCGTATATATTATTTAAAAAAAAATAAAGAAAACAGATTTATTTTATTTAATAATTACATAATATTACCAAATAATGCAAAAATATATTTTATCATTCAAAATAAATGCATTTATAAAAAAATAAAATATTCTTGGAATAATTATTTAAAATAATGACTTAAAATATGTAAAAGTTTAACTATATTATACATGAAAAATTTTAAATTATATCAAATGTAACTTAGAAAAAAAAATTAGAAAAAGCTAATGTTCAAGGCATATTGGGACCGAACTCGGTCTGTATATATATATACCGACCGGGATCGGTCCGTATATATTATATAAAAAAATCAAGAAAACAGATTTATTTTATTTAATAATTACGTAATATTACTAAATAATGCAAAAATATATTTTATC